GCAATATTTCATGTGATCCCCACAAATTGCGCTCTTTTCTTGTCATTATCATTAGTTATCCGAAACGCGTCCCGACATAATGCTTTGTTTGTTTCGTTTGGTCATCATTTAACCATGCGATTCACGTTTCGTGCATGCGAAATGATTGCTGCGACGGTAATCTCTTCTTTTTACGCGTTCGGTTTTCCTTTGTGAGTGATCATTGAATAAGATTGTGAGTTGGTAAATTTAGTGGATTTTAATTAAATGAGATTCAAGTCTCGTTCAGTCGTATCCGCATGAAAAAGCTGTTCGTTGCAGATTCATTAGGCGGCAATTCAAGAACCGTTATGGTCGCAAACATCGGACCAGCATCGTATAATTACGAGGAGACGTTGGGTACACTCAGATACGCGAATCGAGCGAAGAATATCAAGAATGTTCCACGCATCAATGAAGATCCCAAAGATGCACTTCTTCGTGAATTTCAGGTACTGCTTATATGGCTTTAGTTATTGTCGCGCTTTACACCCGTTGCGATATGTGCACCCGATATATGAGCTTGAGCTTGTCATCTTATATCTTCTTGTGTGCTTATAAACATTATCAACTAAGTTAGGCAATGAACAAATCACGTTTGTTACTTCATCCTTGGTGAAGTTTATTGTGACTCAACAAACAATTGATCAGATATTGTTTCACTGTGATCTAAGATGAAATTTGCATTCTAGGATGAAATCGCACGTTTGCGTAGCATTCTCGAAAAACGTGGCTCGAGTGGGAAGCATAAAAAGAGAGAGAAGAAAATCCGAATTGGTCCGGAAGGTGAGAGTATCACCGAAGAAACTGATGAAGACGGTTCGTTTCACTTCTCTTGTTCATTTTTATCTAACATCATCAGCTCGCGAGAAAAGTATCCAGTTTCCAGCCGAATAATTTTGAACAATTCTCTGATTATTCCTACAGTCTGTAGCACTGACTATCCAGGAGATCACTATTTCATTTATTTTTTGTTCACATTTTGATGTACAGTTTAGATGAGAAGCTAATGCTTGAATATTGAACTGATATTCATTTAAGATCAGTTCAGTTATTATCAGTTTTTAAACTGCTTTTCGTCAGTTTCATGCTACTTTATTGAGATTCTCTAGCTTCCATATCTTGATTATTGATCATTTGAGTGAATTCAGGTGATTCGGTATCTCCAGAAGACTATCTGAAAGAGCAACAAACACTTCTGGAAGCTGAAAAGCAGGCAATAATTGCGAATTCGAACATTATTGCTGAGGTGAATGCGCATGTTCGCTTTTGTTATCAGCTTTTCCTATTGAAACCTGGAGCATTGCTCTCATTTACGAATGTCATCCGCATATAAACCTCCTTATAACCCATACACAATGCTCATTTCACATTACCTTCTATACACTAGTTGACTTCATAACCGTTAGTTTATGCATAATTGAAATTGGATTTTATTAAAATCAACGAATTCAACGAAATTGCATGTTGAATCTGGTTTTTTTTTNTTTTTTTTTAATGTGAGAAATTGATTTGATTGCGTCGATTCGTTTTATTTTTGCAAGTTTTGATGTGAATTTGATGAGTAGAATTTGATTCATCACTCAATCATGCTTCTGCAGTGTGAAGAGGAATTTGATACGGTCGAGAAACTTGTAAGTTGAAATGCACTGTTTCTGATGATCACTTTGGGCCTTTTTCGTTCATCATTATTATCCTGTCGCGTGCTTGAAAGTCATACCGTATGCTTTGGGCCGAGATTTGTTTTGGTGATTTGCTGTGTTCCCTGTGCTTAGCTTTTAATCCGAGCGGGATTACTGGGAAGCATTTGACGTGTGCTCTATGATGTATAAAATGATGCTGTTTGCATCAACGAATTCATTGTATGGGATATTTATGAAAGAATCACTCAACATCGAGTCATTCCACACTGTTATTTCGTTAATACATATTCATGAAGAGTTCGATAGCCCTGATCATTGTTCGGTGACTGTGAATCGTGAGAATATCGTCAAAAAACTGAATGAAACGAAATCACAAATGCTCAGATCTGAGCCATTATCTCAGCGATTGTTTCACTATTGGATTCACATCGATAGCAGTTGGATTCAGGTTTATTTGGGGAGGAAACAAGTGCAACAATCATGCATCGTGATGAATTTGCATTGCTTTCAGAAGAAAAAAAAAGGATTTTCAAGTGATTTTCCTGGTGATAATTTGCGCCACTTTTAGGAGAAGCGTCGGATATTGACCGATTTAGAGCAACGCGCTTTGCAACTGGAACGGGAGAGAGAGGCGCAACTCGCTGTTGCGGCAAAGATTCGCGCAATGCAAAGTAAACTGCTTTCGGGTGACGGGAATCTGCTTGATCAAACCAGAGAACAGCAAAAGTTGT